GTGTGTCCCTGTCCCCCCTCCCCCCTCCCCCCCACCAAACCCGGAAATGGCCAAAGTGGCCCCCATGCGCTCTCGAGCTTGTACCTCTGGAAATGGAAGATCTCGAGAAGGATTACCGGTTCTAATGCATGGCAGATCCGTGACCACCCTGGGCTGTGGGTGGGCTGCCCACCTTCTCCTGCCACCCCGGCCGAGTAGGAGAGGGGGACACATTGATCCAGCCTTGCCATTTTGGGGCAGGGAAGGAGCGGGGGAAAGGATGTCTGTTCCGTCCTTGTGCAGAGAGCCCTCCCGGACCCCGACCCCAACCCTCTGGGCTGAAAAGGGAGGGTGGTTGCCTCCACCCACGCAGGCATGCGGGCTTACGGCTGAGTTGCCTTCGTTCCCCCACCTGCCGCTGAGGAGGGTTTCTTTGGGAGAATGGCCTTTCCTGGCCAGGGTTCTCATCCAACCACCTGCTTGTTGACCTGCCCCTCTCGGTTCCATGTAGGTGGATGCCTCCTTATCTTTCCTAGATGGGTTTGTAGCCGAAGGCCTGGCCCGGGGCGCCGCGCCGTACAAGCCGCCTCATCAAAGGCAAGAGGAGAAGCTGTCTCAGGGGAAAGGTAGGGTCACGGCGGGCGTCTCTTGGCAACCTGCAGGAAGAGCCCCCCCCTTAAGGCAGCTGTTCTCCAGGTGCTGCTTGTGCCCTGGATAAGATGCAGTGCCGTTGGGCAGGCGGTGGTGAAATTATCGCATCTTGATAATTTGCTTTTTGAGAATGTATTAGAATTGTATTACTATTATTTTATTATTTTACACCTTTTCTGTTTGTTTGCATATGTACTTGTATGAGACGCCAAACACTATTTTATGATTGGTTTAACTTATGTTCTTGCGTGTAGCCTGATCGGCTACAAAGCAATAAAGTATTTGTATTCATTCAATATGTGTGGTTGTGAGATAAAGATGCCTTTGATAATGGTGATGAAGATGAAGATCTTGCTGTTAATAGGTCTACATTAGCAAGTATTGTAGTCTGACTTTGCTTTCGTGGACCTTTTCCTAGAATCGATTGAGTCCAAATTAAACATGTGTTGTAGTTCTAAAAACAAGACAACCCCAATTATTATTGGTACCTGGTGTCAGGTGTAAAATATTCATTTTGGAAAGGGGCTCGTTGCCAGCCTCTCCCGTCATCGGCCGTGTTACTGCCGTGAAGTCTGGCCCTCGGTTCTCACGAGTGCTATGCTTTCTTTGCAGCTTTGAACTTTGAGCCTTACGGGCTCCCCCTCTCACGGAGCTTCTCCGCATCTGGTGCGACCGGCCGGCAGTCTCCAACCGGACTGTCTCTGGGGTCTGATATTTCCGGGAACAGTCCTGAGGCCGGACAAAAGGAGTGAGTGTGCACCCCATCAGTAAATCCCTTGTAGGCAGCTTGCTTGCTTGCTTGCTTGTGTGTTTTAAATTCCCCCCGTCCTCTTTTGGGGTCAGTAATGAAGGCTTGCTTGCTTGCTTGCTTGCTTGTGTGTTTTTAATTGACGCCTCCTCTTTTGCTGTCAGTAATAAACAAATGCAAAAGGGCCGTGAAGCAAAACACAAACAAAATGGAAGAACAAGTGATCTCTTCCTAATTTGCTCAGGAGATGCTGGGGCCGCAGAATGGGTTATTTCCTTTCCCTGCCCGGGCATTTCTCTAGCCCACCACAGTGGGAGGTTTTTGCCCCACTGAGCAGAAAATCCAGGACCCCGAGTGGCCACATTGGTGGGGCTTGTCCTGGCAAACAGGCACAAAAGTGACTAAGCACTTTTTAAAACAAAAATCCAATCAAAGGTGTGCCTCCTGTAATTCTCTGCTGGTGTTGAATGTGGGGACTCTTGGTTCTCCAGAGCTGGCCCAGAAATGCAGGCCAGTGGCTCCTCAGGAGCCTCGTTCAAAGGGGCCTTTTGCTGACCTGGTTTAGCAGAGAAGGGACTGGGGGCGGGGGAGGGAGTGAAGGGGCAGCCTTCCCCCCCCCTCCCCGTGGCCACCCCACAGTGGATTCTTTGTCCACTGTGGCTTCCGAGTGAGCGGCTTTACTCCAAAGTGGGTGCAACAGATTTGCCTTTGCTAAGAGTCAGCTGGCTCTTCGAACATGCTTTTGCCGACTTCCCTGAGTGGCTTCGCGGACTGTTTCAGGACCAACGGCTTGAGGCTTGACGGAGTGAAGCAGCTGTGGGGGAAAGAAGGTTACCTCCCCAAAAAGGGAAGCCCAGTTGAAAAAGAAGACAGCATCCGACCTGTCCCGCAGAGCAGCAGCCCGTTGGCGGAACCTCCGGCCGGTCACTTTCCGTCACAGGCTGGTCAAGAAGCTTCAAGCCTCTCGGAGGAAGAAAAAGAGAAGCAGCAGCTGGCGTCCACCCTCTTTGTGGGCCTGGGCTCGCAGGGCAGCGTAAATCTGGTACGAGAACTCTTTTGCTGAAGCGTTTATATAGACGCTGCCACCGTTTCTCTATCGGTCGGCATGCGCTTCTGCCCTTGGGTTCTGAGTGGTTTTGTCCAGTGGCGCACCTTCGTGGGACACTTCCTGCCAGAGGTCCCTGCAGCTCCTTTGCTGAACCTGGTGATGATTTTGTTCCCTTGAAATCTGTCCCTCGCCCTGCACAGCCACTCACCCCACCCCAAAGGCTTTCAAAAAGGGGAATTTTAAAGGCAGGTTGCAGTGAGGGAGTGCTCCAACACGGGAGGCCTTCAAGAGGAATTCTGTTGCCTGGCAGATCTGCTTGGATTTCTGTTCTTGCACGGTTGGACTTGATAGCCTCGGGGGCTCCTTCCAGCTCCATGATTCCAGGATCGTGTGAGCTCAGCTGTTTTTAAGAGGAAAGGGTCTGGTCTTTTGGAGCCTGATTAAAGACACACTGCATGTTGGCTCAACATGCAGTGGAACTCTGGAAGTGGCCTGGAATCTCGTAGCTTTTGGGTCCAGGCTTTTTCCTGCCTGGTTTGGAAATCTCTGCCTTCATGGAAGATGAGCATTAACAAGTGTGCACCTTTATTCTTGGCTTTGGCTCCTTACTTTTCTTCATATAAGTGGAGGCTATACTATCAAGTTAGCCCGTTCTTGGTTCTGACCTGCGAAAAGCATTGAGCCTTGGTACCAAGCCCATGTAATTCAGAACGGGAGCCTTTCATAATTAACCGAGGAAGCTAGGAACTTTAAAATGGAGCAGGGCAACTGGGAGAGAGAAAGGGAGAGGGACAGTCAGAGGGAGAACGGAGGAGAGGAGGTGGGTGTGTCATAAAAACAAAAAGTGGTTTTCATTTTACTGGTTTCTCAAAAGACTGCAGTTTAGTCTGCCTCGTTCCGTTTTTAAAACGATGGTGCTGTATTTTACCCTTCTTGTTTTTGGTGGTTGTGTATTTAAGATGGGCAAAGGAGACCCTTCCACTCAGAAGTTCACAAGGAGATCAAAGATCCACGAAGGCAAAACCGGCGAGGAATCGTCTGGTAGAGAAAGCCCGGTGAGCCCTCCGGCCACCTGCCACGACCCCTTCCATGGGAAGCAGGAGCCCTGGCAAAGCCACGGACGTGGAAGGAAAGCTTCCCTGGGCTTTCCTGAAGCTTCGGGATCGAAAGCGGTGCTGGACCGCTCTCACTCTCTGCCAGAAGCGGGACCGAACGAGAGGCTTCTGAGCCACAAACTCTCGCCCTGCGCTTTGTTTGCTGATGGCGAGATGGACTTTTCCCCTCGCCCGCCAGGCGCTCAGGCAGCCGCCCGCAGGCTGCCCTCCTTGAGGCCTTCCTTAGCTGAGGAGGCGGCCGAGCATCCCCATTCAGAGATCGTAGAACTCTGTGGCAACGAAACGCTGGTTTTATGCTTTTGTAAGGTCTGGAAAGAGGATGGCGTCCTGGTTTTTTTATTTCTTGTCAACCAGAGCACTTCCTTACTTAAAAAGGTGACGTTGGAATTTGAGCATGCAGACCATCTGAAGGTGAGGAGAGGCGTTGGGTGGGCGGTTTTCGCTTCGCCCTTTATTAAAGGTTCATTGCTGGTGAAACAAAACCGTGTGAAAACCATTTTGGCTTTCCCCTCTTCCCCCCCCCTTCCCTTTGCAGATCTCTGAGAGTCACGGCTGCCGTTTTGATACAATAGAAGCTCAAAGCATAGGAACTTTCCAGACGGATGTGGAGATAAAGGAGCTGTCCTCCTCAGCAGCAATCTCTGGTTCCGTCCATTGCGACCTAGCGCTGAACGTACCCCTCCAGTTTTCTGTAACTTTAGACCTCTTGGATTTTATCAGGTAGCTGTATAGAAGAGCTGGCGTTGTAAGTCATTACAAAGACCACTCAGACAAACTACATCGGTCTAAAAATTGGATTCGGCTAAATCCAATTTTTAGGCTAGATCCATTGAATCAGTCGGACTTTGATAAGTCAGTGTCTCTGTAAGTCTCATTGGTTCAGTGGCATAAATTGAATTCTTGGTGCCAAGCAGAGTGCTGTTGTTTAGTCGTTAAGTCATGTCCGACTCTTCATGACCCCACGGACCAGAGCACGCCAGGCGCTCCTGTCTTCCACTGCCTCCCGGAGTTTGGTCAAATTCACGTTGGTCGCTTCAATGACCCTGTCCAACCATCACGTCCTCTGTTGTCCTCTTCTCCTCTTGCCCTCACACTTTCCCAACATCAGGGTCTTTTCCAGGGAGTCTTCTCTTCTCATGAGATGACCAAAGTATTGGAGCCTCAGCTTCAGGATCTGAGCACTGGTGGTAGTAATCTAGCCAGCTTTACCATACCACACGCTCAGAGTCTCTCTCCTCCCTTTCCAAGTTTCCTATGCTCTAAATATTTAGGGTGCCTCTTTGATAAAGAGGACCTGCCCTCTTCCATTCTTACCAACTTCCCTTCCCTTGCTTGGCTGGCATCCTCAGTGTCATATTTGCACAACTTTTAACGAACAACCACCCACCCCCCAATTTCCATTTTTTTTAAAAAATGTTTTTGTTTAGCTTGACTCTTTGAGTCTCTTGGATGCTGGGAAAGTTTTCAGCGACGGGTCAAAGGGCTGTTTGCCCAGACTTAAAGCCTGTTTTCTTTTCTTTCTCTTGTGTCATCCTTTGCAGACCCATGAAATTGACCACCGAGGAATTTGGAAAGCTGTGGCTCGCTCTTTCGAACGACGTGAAGCAAAATCTAAAGATGGCACCATCTCAGGGTTCTCTGTCGGCTGTTCTTAACACCTTGCAGCAAAAGCTGAAGCTACACGTGGTTGACATCATAGGTGAGAAGACAGGCTTCCTTTTCTCTGCTCCAAAAATGTAGCTTGAAAGATTCTTAAAAGGAGGAGGACGTGCCTCTGAGAGAAATTCTGAACCTAAGCCCACCCCGCCCCCGCTCCTCAAAGCCAAACTGAATGACTTCCTGCCAAAGCTTTCGTACTCGTACTTCAGAGATGTGGAGGCCCAGACAGGCTGTCTGAAAATTGATCATGTTTTCCCACTGTCTCTCAACATCAGAAAAACGGCAGGCAGATTTCTGCTGGGTTATTTTTAGCTTTCCACCAGGGAATAACTTCATGAGAGAGCTCTCTCTCTCTCTCCCATTTAGTCTTCGTTGTGGGGCTTTGGGGGAGGGAGGTGAGAGAAGCGCAAAAGCCCGGTTGGGAAAAGGTTTGGTTCTTAACACACTTTGGAGGCAGGCAACTGCTTTACCCAGGGAACGTGTGAATGAGTGAGTGTTGTCCTTCCTTCCGTGAGGAAGGCCTGCTGGCCATGCAAGGCTGAGGGAGGAATCGCCCCTTTCCAGAAAGAGCCCCTCACGGTTGGCATCTTGAAATCTTTCAGACTTGTGACGAGTGTCTTTCCCTTCTTTAGGTAACGAGGGCATCGCCGCCTGCCGGCTGCTTCCCTCCATCCCTTGCTTGCTGCACTGCCGGATCCAAGCCGGGATGGTGGCGCTGTGGCTCCGCTCGCCCTGCCCGGCCCTCCCGGACTGCTTGCTTTACCAGTGTCAGAAAGCGATGGAAGAATCGTGAGCGTCACCCTGCCTCCCTGTTGCTGCCCTTCCCGACAGAAGATGAGTGTGACTTTTTCCCCCCTTCCACAAAGAGTTCGCCAAAGCCAGCGCTTGTCCAGTCAGCCAAGTGTGGGGTGGCCCAAACAGGCATGGAGGGAGGGTCTGTGTGTGTGCGTGTTGTGGTTGTTTTGAGGTGCCTGCTGTGTCACACACAGACCCACAGCTCAGGGTCAGGGAGCCCCAGGCAAGGGACGGCTCAGGGTCCGAACGGTCAGCGAGGCACCTTGGGGAAGGCATGATGTTTTCTGTTTATGTCCCCATCCAAGGGACAGCCTGTTTATTCATAGGAACAGCTACGACTTGGAGGACTTTACGGGCTCCGCTGGGGACTTCAGGACGCCTCTCTGGCAGGGCCTCCTTTGCTTTGGGAACTTTTCTTGTGGTGCCTGACGCTCCAGGGCTGCTCGCTGGTCACCCAGGCGTTGGGTCATAGGAGAGCCGCGGCTCCTGCCTTCTCCGCTCCCGATTGTGTAGGCACAGAAGGAGGTACAGGGCTCTGCATACATTGGTGACTCTGTAAGACACCCCTGGCAGCGGCTGCCAAGCGGTGGGAGGACAGTTCGCCACACATCCCCGGTGGGTGAGTTCAGCGGTTGTGCGCCTCTCTTGGTTTTTCTTGGCTACTTGGTCAGAAGGCGGCTTTCCAGGGGTGCTGCCATCCTCAGAGGGCTTAAGCCTTTGAGCTGTCTGTGCTTAAAAGCACCAAGCCTGCCCTTCCAGACGTTTTTCCCCCCACCTTTGCATGAATGCCTAGTGGTTTTTCTCACCCCTCACCCCCTCCGGCATCAGGAGTTCTTAATTCCCAGTCGCCCTGCTCCATTTTAAAGTTCTTAAGTGCACTGACTGTTGGTGATAAAAGCAGGGCCTGGGGGGATTCAAGCAGCCTCTAGACAGCCCCCCCCCAGTCCTTTTGCATTATAATAAAGCTGGACTGGGAAGAGCCGCCAGGCTGGCTGGCTTCACCTGGTTGAGGTCCTTTGGGGCTTGTCTTTTTGGGCTGTGTGGCAGGGCTGCCTTTAGTTTTGCAAATCCCCTTGGCTCCCTGGTGGATCTGGCTCCCCTTGGGCCTCAAGGCATCCCTCCCACCACCCCCCCAGTACCAAGGTGATTGTTTGCAGATTGCCTTCCCTTACAGGGTATCCAAAGCCACAGACGCTGCTGTTCCTTTTGGGTTACCAGAGTGAAGCCTTCATACCTCTGTGGCCGTCCACTGGCCCTGTGGCCTTGGCTGGAGGCCACGGGCTCCGCTCGCCTGACCTCCCCGCTGACCACCACTGTGTCCTGAAAAAAAATGGCTTTAGGCTCCCCCTCTGCCCCCCCCCATTGTGGTGGAATTTCCCCCCTTCCCTTCTTGTACTCTTTTCTGCTGTTCAGAAAATGAGAGAAATAAGACCTTCCAAGGGTCATGATATGATGCAGTGGGGCGTCTTTGTCTGTCTGTCTGTCTGTCTGTCTGTGTTCCTTATTATATAAAAAGTCCAAAGGGCATCAAAGTGAGCAGTATCAAGTCCCAAAGCTTTCTGGACTCTTTTTAAGTTCTTTAAACAGAGGAAAAGAGACATTTCACTACCTTGGGCGCGAGGCCTTTTCTATGGCTTTGTCGGAATGGAGACTGGTTGAAAAGCTCAGCCACAGGCTTCAGAGATACACTAGATCAGGAATATACGTATTATAACCGTAGAGTCTTGTGGGATTCTCTGTCAGGGAGGGAATTGCAGGGATTTGGGTGAGATTGGGGGTGGGGGTGGAGAAGAGAGTTAGGAAAATCATCCTGGCTAGCTGTTAAAGGTTCAGGAATTGCAGTTGAGCTGAAGTGCCAGGATAGAGGCTTCAGCCATTAAAGAATTGGCTGGTTGTAAGGTAGAGGTTACATTTCGTGGCATCGTAGGCAAAAAGCAGTCAATTGGAGCCAAGGCACCTACCGAGTAGAGAAAGATGGGTACTTCTTGTACCCGCCTTGAAAGGATGGAAGGCTGAGTCACCCTCAAGCCAGCTGCCTGAATCTGCTGGGATCAAACTCAGGCCATGAGCAAAGTCTTCACTGCAGTACTGCAGGTTAGCCACTGAGCCACGAGAAACAGACATGTGATCTATGTTTAGAATCCAGAAAAAAGGAAGGGCAACATCTTTATTGAGACAGCAAAATATCACAAGTGGGGTGAGGTTGCTTTGCTGAACAAGTCACAGGCCTGTTCAGCTCTTGAATGGCAGAGCTGGTTGTGTAGCTGGCTGACCATGGCATTAAACTGGTCAGTTTTAACAAACCGTGCATACTAGGAACCATCTGTAACGAGGAACAAAAGCTGTCTAATTAAGTTACATGAGCATTTGTATCAAGTTACGATCAGCAGGCACAAGGATGTCTTGTTAAATTTTCCTTTCTGCCTTGTAACATTTTGTGAATGTTTTTGATCTGCCAAAAAGCGGCGTTCTGAGGTCGAGAAGACTGGATAGCACGTTGATGCTTCTCTTCTGTTGAATCTTATCCATCCGGGGGGGGGGCTGATGGAGCCCTTGTCCTGGGAGTGGGGGTTGGGGTTGGGGTTATTAGGGGAGGCACTATCTAAGAAGGATGGGTCCCCATGGACTTCTTTCTGTATATGCAGCTGAGGGTGGATACGAACCCTCTAAACACCTCCGCGGTATGTTTGCTCGCCCTGCTAATGAAATGCCTTTAAAAACCAGCAACTTGTGTGTCTGTCTCTGTGTGTGTCAATGAGAAATTTGCACTGAGCCTGCCGGTCACACACCCTGTTTCCTCGTTGAGATCCAGCCGGACACCATATTGTTGTCTATTTGCGCCTTTGTTTCTGCACGCTCCGGTCTTCTCTGCTGCAAAAGCAACCCTCAGCCAGTTTAAAAACTAGTGTTTAAACAAGTGTGACGGTTCTCTCTGCCTCCCTCCTCTTGGATTCGGCCTCCCCAAGTGTTCTTTGTCCTTCTGCGCCTTTGCCAACGGGCCGCCCGAAGAGAAAGCCAAGGGCTCGTTCTTTTTTCATACACAAAGGCATGTGGACACGGGAAGTCTGCCCATGGGAATGCCGCAGATGTGCAGGTTTCTGTTGGAGAGGGATGATGGGCATTGTAGTTCTCTGTAGCATCTGGAGGGCCAGTCGTTGTGCCCCCCCCCGCTCGTCTAGAGGGTGACAGAGAGGGTCGAAGGTCCTCCGGTCCCGGCAGGTTCACCTCGTGAGGATGGTGCTTTCCCTTGAACACAAACAGTTGAGCTTTGGCCTCTAATCTTATTGTAACTCTGTTTAAAAAAAAAAATAGGGATGGGCAGTTCATGGAAGTCCTGACGAGAACTAATAAAATTCCAGAGGACAAGATGCTGCCGAAACACAGATCCTTTAATGCATAATTTATGGTAACACAGCACACTTGGCGTCTGACTCAAACGCACCCGATAGGTTGGAAACGATTGGCTTTGTATGTGAATCCACCGATATAAAAGTAAACATGGAATATACAGCATATACTGGCATGAGAAATGCATGTTACTTCCCCCTCCACTTTTTAAGGCTCTTATTAATATAAAGGGCAAGACACTTCACTCTTTTGCTGGAAAATAATAATAATAACGGGGGCTTGGAGAGGGACGTGTGCCAGAGCCAGGCAGCCTCCTCTCCCTTTCTTGGACTCCCCTGCTTTCTTCAGCAGCTGAGCCGGTCTCGGCCCCCTTCACTGCCTTGACCAAAAGCCACGTCCAGGCTAGGCTGGGCTGAGAAGCAGGTAAGGATGGGCCATCATCATGCTAAAACCCTGCTTTAGCAGCACAGGAACAAGGTAGGGGACTGAACGCACCTCTGTGTCCCTTAGCGGGGTCTATGTTTGGAAGTTATCACGGGGGGGGAGGGGGGTTGTCTTGTTGTAGCATCCCAAACAGATCCTTGATTTTTCTTTCCAAAGGGGCAGCAAGCCTCCTTAAGACCGTGTGTGTGTATGTATGTATGTGACAAATTCCTCGGGACCCACATTTCAGGCAGGGAGAAGGAAAGCTGAAAAGGCTAGGCCCCAAAACCAGCCGAGTTGCTGATGGCTGTGGCAGCAAAATGCAACTGGGTTTTGGTGTTGGCTTGGAGGGCCGGGCTTAGGCAGCTGCCCCACCGGTTGAGCTCAAGGGCCAGAGGGGTGTTTGGCGAACGGTCTCTTGGCTGGCGGCTTGGTGAATAAAGCCAGAAAGCTCAAGTGACCTCAGCGGAAAATGCCAAGCCTCTGCTCAGTAACTTGCGGGAAGGTATCCGACCCTTTGGAATTGGGGGTGCAGGGGCAAGAGGTGGGGGGCGATTTGCAGCTTACAAAGCAACCGGGAAGACGACAGAGACACCAAAGGCAGCCTGCTGGGTTGGGCCAGGCCCCCACCGTCCTCCCTCCTCTTAACGGTTGAGCCACGGCTCTTGAAGTAAGCCCAGATGGGCCTCCTCTTCCATCTATTATCTTCTCCTGCATCGACTTAAGGGAGGCTATTTGGAGAGGGTAGTTGGGGGTCTGCCCAGCAGTCCCCCCAGCAGGGAACGAAAGTGGCCTCCGTGCAGAGTGCTTCCCCCTGGCTGGCTCCAAGCACTCGGGACCTCTAAATCCATGTGCCCTCCCGCCATCTTCTGCCACCGAGTTGCCATAAATAGTCCATCTGGATCCTTATTTGGAAAACGGAACACCTTGAAGGAAGCTCTTTCTTTCTCCTTTGTTGTGCTTTGCCCTTGATGTGGCGATATGAAACACACGCACACATACACACACACACACCCCTTGATCAAACCTTGGGAGGCTACTTTCCACCTTCTGCGGTGGACACAGAGAGAGAGAGAGACATACACACACACACCCCTTGATTAAACCTTGGGAGGCTGCTTTCCACCTTCTACTCCTGCGGTGGACATGCCATCTTCTGCCACCGAGTTGCCATAAATAGTCCATCTGGATCCTTATTTGGAAAACGGAACACCTTGAAGGAAGCTCTTTCTTTCTCCTTTGTTGTGCTTTGCCCTTGATGCGGGGATATGAAACACACGCACACATACACACACACACACCCCTTGATCAAACCTTGGGAGGCTACTTTCCACCTTCTGCGGTGGACACGGGGGTCTTTTGACTTAGCGTGGATTTCTAGCCTTCCTATGGCCACATCTGCTCCCAGCCACAACACACCCTCACGTGGAGATCATGGCGTGTAGCGTGTGTGCGTGGGGGGGTTCTCCCTTTCGTGAACGGCCTGCCCTGCACGCTGAAAGGTTCGCTGTCTTTTTCGGGCACCGCCGTGAAGCGTTTTGTTTTCTTTAGGGGCAGCAAGCGGTGGGGGATCCGGAGGTTCTGTTGCACGTCCGGGAAGCCGGCTCTCCGGCCCGGGTCCCAACCTTCTCCTTGCGTCTCCCGGCGACGACGCCCTTTGGGCTCTGAGGCAAGTTTCAGAGGACTTTCTCGTCAAGGAGTTTGTTGATGCCGTCACAGATTTTTTTGAGGTGAGGCCGGCATTCGCTGTCGAGGCCATACAGGGTGGTGAGGAATTCCAGATCGGCAAAATGGTTGAAGACGTGGTTGATCCGGGCGTGAGACCTGGCCGTCAGGTGCCGTTCTACCAGTTCGTGGACCAGCTCTTTGCACTCATGGAGCAGTTCTGACAGAACTTGCTTGTCGAAGGTGTATTCCACCTCGTAAAAGCTGACGATGGTCATGGCGGCTTGGTTGAGCTTCTTGCGGAACTTCTCGACGATCTCCAGTTCCTCCGCGTTGAACTGGTTGTTCCGGTACAGGATCCCGATCTTGACCGCGATTTTGATCAAGTCCTTCATGATCTTGTGGGCTTCTTTCTTGTTCTTCAGGTGCTCGATGGTCACTTTGTATAACTCGTCAAAGATCTCGCTGCTGGTGTCGTCGATCAGCATGTTGACCACTGTCCTGGTGGCCATTTTGCTCAAGATCTTCTTCTGGGCTTGGAGGGCAAGGCTCTTGGCGCTGAAATTATCTGGACCTGAGGGAAATGGCAGGGTCGGCGTGAGGGGTGATGGAAGGGAAGAGAAGGAAAGGAGGCAAGCAAGGGAGAGGGAAAGAGAAACGGGGGCGGAGGTGTTAATTTCAATTCACTTGCAACAAACTTTTCCCTACCCAGGCCAGAAACAATACCGATATCCTGCAAATGGAACCCCAAGTGTGTTTGTGTTGGAGAGCTGTGATGAAGGAGACCGTGACCGAGGGAGAATTTTCTTGTGCTCACAAAATCCGGGTTGAAAGGAGTCCTGTGCTGAACTCCTGAAATCTCCAGTCTCAAAACAAAGCTTGCTAGTCGGCAAACATATTAAAGCGGAGGTTAGCTGGCGGCAGCCCCACCTCATCGCCCTTCACATCAAGTGGGTCGTCGCATCGGCTTGAGGGGTCGGGACCCTCTCGCTTTCAGGACCTTGTGGGTTTGCAGCTCACCGAAAGCCATACGGAGCCTTAATCGGTGAAGGACGCTTCCTCCTCTCTAGATTGTTCGCCCTCTGTGTCCAAATTCCGACTCCTCTTTGTTCGGTCACCCTCAGTGGCATGGAAGGGTGTGACTGAACCTGCTGGGCCTTCTCCCCCCCCCATCGAAGAACCTGGACCACTCCAAAGCCCCTCCCCCAGCAAGGGGTCAGATCTGCCGAGGGTGGGGGATCATCTCTGTGGAGGGTGAGGGATCATCTCTGTGGAGGGTGAGGGATCATCTCTGTGGAGCTCGGTATGCCTGGAAGGTGTCTGTGGCAGGTGTTCGGGAAGAAGACGAGCCAAGAGAGGGTCCACGGCCTCTGTGGGCCGACCTCGGTGGAAGCAAAAAATGCAAGCTGTCAAGCTCTCGAGAGTCCACGTGTGTCTGGAAACGAAAAACCAACCAGCTGCTCTAGGCTAAGCTTGCACAATGATGGGTGGGTGGGGGGGAGAAGTGCATACTGGCTCTTCAAAGTCATACGGCTTTATTTTCCCTCCTCCTTCCTCTCCCCCCCCCTTCAAAATGCAGCAGAAAAACTGATGGAGAATTAAAAATAAATATGCTTCTGTAGGTGGTGAGAACTGGCAAAGAAGAAGCAGAGGCGGAGCGGAAGGCTTCCACCCACCGGTTGCTGCATTCAGGGCAGCTCGAAAGGGACTCTCGGTTTGGCCCCAGGGAGTCACGCTCGCCCTCCCTCTTGGGGGTGTGGGGCAAGCAGCGCAAACAAACAAACAAAACAGGGAAAGGCCACATGATGGCTGTAGAAACAACACAAATGCAGGAATAGGTGACACACCTTTCATCGACCTTTGAGAATATAAAGCAAAAAAACAGACCAGGAGGCTAGCCTTTTTAACTCCCCTCGCTAAAAAGAAATCCTTTTAATTTCAAAACAGTGGAGAAGGAGGGAATGACAGGGGCTCAGATTGCATGACTCTCCTTGAGACGGGTTATAAATTCCACACTACCCCCTTCCCCCTCCAAAGGCTTTTTGCAGACGGCACCCCTTTCCAACTAAGGAGCTGGCGTGGCCTTAGCATCAGCCACGTGGCGTGGGGGGATTAACAACAGCATATAATTTTCGAGCTAACCACAAGAACCTGATGCACAGCCTTGGAGAAGATGGTTTATCATCAAAAGCTTGCTGTTTGTTTGTTGTTTGTTTGCCTTCTATTCTTAATGGTCACTTAAAGGTGTGCAAATGCAAACGCCACCCTGACGTGCTTCTGCTCCTACCTTGCATCCTAATAAACGCTGGAGAAAATAACCAAATATGGGTTGGATTTATATACCAGAAGGAGAGCGGCCCCACTCCCGGCATTCTACATACAGAAGCCCACAGCCGGCTGAACCTGAGCACAGAAACCATAGTTTGAGATAATGCATCACTAAAACTGCATAAATGTTAGTGTTGGAGAGAGGTGACTGAAGCAGCTTTTTGGAGAAATGGCTGATCTCATGCCTGAAAAATCAGACTTCAGAGGAAACCCATTCTCACGTCCTGAAGGTAAAGGTAAAAGTTCCCCTTGACATTTAGTCCAGTCGTGTCTGACTCTTGGGCATCCCCGTTTCGAAGCCGTAGAGCCAGCGTTTGTCTGTAGACAGTTTCAGTGGTCATGTGGCCAGCGCAACTAGACACGGAACGCCATTACCTTCCCACCGTGATAGTACCTATTTATCTACTCGCATTTTTACATGCTTTTGAACTGCTAGGTTGGCAGGAGCTGGGACAAGCTACGGGAGCTCACTCCGTCACATGGATTCGATCTTACGATGGCTGGTCTTCTGACCTTGCAGCACAGAGGGTTCTGCGGTTTACCCCACAGTGCCACCACGTTGTCCTGAAGCCTAACCACAAAACAAAGCAAGAGGATTAGCAAACTTGGGGAAGAGGTACTCTGACTCTCTCACAAGTTAAGGAATTTTCCATCTAATGAAAAGATCTCTATAATGTCTCTTTCTCTCACCACTATAGTATTGGCAATAAGGACACTTCTGCACTGTAATTGAGGGTACACTTTAGAAAAGTTACTTTTGGCAAGTATACCTGTGATACTTTCTAAGCAACCACGGGCATCTATGAAGCCATTGCCTTCTATGAACAACTTTGAAACTCAGCCTGTGGTTCCTTGCTATGCTTTCTTCTTTTTAAAAAAATTGATATGCTTCCTTTATTGATCCTGCTTGGGTTCCCAAACACAACTGTAATTGTTTTCTTTAAGAATTCAGAGGAGCTGAAAGTTTTGGAGGTTTGCTGTTCGCTGCTTGTCATTTCTGCAGCAGTTCAGGGCAGGCAGCCACAGCTATTATTAAAAGATTACGTCTTCAGTATATTTTTAATGAGCTAAATAGTCACAGAAATTGTTTCCAGGAGAAAAAGGAAAAAAAGAAAAAAGCCTGGGAGCAACGGCCGTCACCAATAAAGGCCGCCGTGCTGCTGTGACTGCAGATTTGCTTCCTCCAGGCACGGGTCGGATCTCCAGGACTCCAAAATGCCCCGACCCTTTCAGCTGTTCTCCCTGCTCTCAGCACTTGCTCAGCAACCAAGTCTTGTCTCAAGGGAGGCTCAGCGGCTGCTCTGCTGAAAGGGAAAAAAAAACCAAACACACTGGGAGATGAAGAGTAGCCACTCTGCGAGGCCACTCAGCAGCCGGGGCTGTACGGCAGTGCTGGGTAACCCAGATGTTCTTGGACTACAACTCCCAGAAGCCTTCACCACCAGCTGTGCTGGCCAGGATTTCTGGGCGTTGTAATCCAAGAAGATCTGGGTTACCCAAGGTTGGGAACCATTGCAGCATACCAAACACACTGGGAGATGAAGAGTAGCCACTCTGCGAGGCCACTCAGCAGCCGGGGCTGTACGGCAGTGCTGGGTAACCCAGATGTTCTTGGACTACAACTCCCAGAAGCCTTCACCACCAGCTGTGCTGGCCAGGATTTCTGGGCGTTGTAATCCAAGAAGATCTGGGTTACCCAAGGTTGGGAACCGTTGCAGCAGAGATGAGGCTCAGAACCTGAAGCATCATTTCCCCCCACACACACACACACCAAAAGGCATTAAATTGCAGTGACTTTTAAGACAGGCAGGTTATTGTTAATATCCCCCTATCTGGAGAAGCCATCCAGTGCCACACACACCAAAAGGCATTAAATTGCAGGGACTTTTAAGACAGGCAGGTTATTGTTAACGTCCCCCTATCTGGAGAAGCCATCCAGTGTGTGCAGTGTTATGAGCATCTTGATTTTCTGTTACCAAGCAAAACAAACAAACAAACGGAGTATTCCAGAAATAAGTATGACGAGATGTAAGTTTTCTTTCAGATGAGCCACAGCTGGAACAGTGCAAATGCAAAAATGAGCAATACCTTTATAGGCCACCAATAAAAACAAAAAACAAAAAACCCCATACACTGTGCAAGCTTTCCCTTCTTCAGAGCAAATGCCAAAAGGCCGAACACTCTGGCAAGTTGGTGCAGTTTGCAACATCACCTTCTTGGCCACTACAGAAGTGGAGACAGGCCGTGCTAGCTATGAAGCAGTACGTGGAGTATCCCTGAAACAAACGGCACATATTTATAGTGTGGCTCCTACTCACGCGGCAGCTAAAAGGAAAATTATGCTTGCATCAGTACAACCAGAAATGTCCCTAGCTACCCACTGAACAAAACTGAAAAAAATAACATAAAAATAATCGCTATTCTTGACAAGATAATTGTCAGTACTTGTTCTTATCCTCAACATCTGGGCTAGTCCCTTTCCAGATGTGACATTTCAGCCCCAAAAGATCAGAGAGTCCTGAGTTGCTCTTTGATACGGGCTGTGCCTGCGTAATTACAGAGAAACATCTTCCTAAAATGCAATTGTCTCCTATTGTTTCCTTCCCACCAACCCTACGGAGTAAATACAAACTACCCAAACATCTGCATGAGATTTTCAAAATATTCTGCCTCCAGATGGTGGCATAAAAGGTACAAAAGGTTGCCAATTTGAAGAAGGAGGCGCTCCGTTCTTTTGCTGATCTGGAACAATGCATTTATGCAAGGCAGGCAACATGTGTGCGCGTGGAAACCCAACGCCCAAAGTCTGGCATATCGATCGTTAAATATCACCCCTCCCGACTCCCAAAAAATGAAGCCTTGAAACCTTGGCATGCGAGTTAGTCCCTATTTAGCCGACCGCTATTTGCTCAAGCTATTTCTGGAATTATTTTTGGAAACAACGACTATTATTTTTTGGGGGGGGGGAGAGAGGAATTCGTGGTTTGACAGGTGTCAGTTGTCGTTGGTAGACAGCAGGATGGTGAGAGGAGCCCCAGGATACTTCCGTTTGCCTAAGAACCGAGTGACCAAAGGTCCGGGAGAGACAGTCCTGCCCGACACTGGAGCCTTCTTTTTAAAAAGCAAACACGGCTGTCCTGCTGGAATTCGTGGCACCCCCCCTCCCTGCCATTTGGCAGCCAGAGAGGGCATCCGGAGCTCACGTGAACCCCCGTCAAGGAGACCCTGTGGTTCCCAACTTTGGAT